TAGTTTGTTAGCGTGAATACCTTGTTATTTTTCATACAGTATGAACATGCTAGTTTTCTATGTGCACTCCAACCATAAACCGTTTTATAAGCTGAAAAATCATTGATAGTCTACATCAAAACTGCTTTCAATAGAAAATTTTGTTTTCTCGATACATCCTAAGTCAAAGACCCAGATGACCACAATTACTTCAACTCATCAATCAAAAGTCAAAGACAAACATCTATATTCTAACCCGGACTATTAGGACTGAGTATGATCGTAGAAAAAAATATGAACTCTGAACTCATACGTAGCCCTGATGGTAAGTTATCAACCATGAGCATCATCGGCCAACTAGAATAAAAAGCAACAAATGACTTGAAAGTATTGAATCCATCTGTACATCACCTATAACACACACATTCCTTATCTTCACTTAAAATTATAATGATGCATCATCACTCCATTCATTGCATCATATGATTGGTATCATGATATGTGCTCAGTAGTCTTTGATGGCATTAATACCCTCTACAATCTAGGTGCGATTGAGAAATATCTAAGTTTTTCATGTGCGACAAGAGTCATTGTCATACCAATCATGATTTTATAATGAGAATACCTACATATTATGCACTTGATCAACTTTGTATTTTCAAGGTAGTATAACATGTAGAAGTTTGGACACTTGTCAATTTTATGGTATCCTAAATCAAGGGGTTTCAGCATAAACTTAGTTGCATAAAAGTTCTTTTTCAACCTGTTTCCTTAAGGTAAAATGTTTCTCACCTATTTGATAATTCAGCCATAATTGGCCTCACTCAACCTATGACCTGACATGATGTTGAATACTTGTTCAACGACTAATAATTTATTATGATTTATGCAACTTGGTTCATTAAAATCTTTCAAAAGATCAAAAAACTGGTTGCATTGGCATTAGATTCTTTATCTATGATTGGATATTGACCAGTATGACCCTGATTAATTCCCATCGCATCTATAACCATAATCTTATAAGGATTAGTATTATCATTTATAATTATACATGTTGTTAGAACTAGAAGTTAACACAATCATTCTTTCTACCATAGTATCATAAGAAACATATGGTTCTCCGTGTGCATACCAACATAGGTATTTCTCCATGAACCTTTTTTATGGAAGATGCATTGTTACAACATCTAAATTATAAAACTTTTTATTTTTACACCTCTTACATCTAATACCCCCTCCACTAATATTTCTTGAATTAAATAGTGTGTAATTAATAAAACTCTGAACCCCATAAAAATAATTCATTACATGCAACCCTTAAGATGAATCTTTATATATCCATGAATAATCATTCATTAATTATGTCAAACCTATGTAAAATAATGATGACAATATGTATTAATTTGTAAAATAATGATGACAAGATGTATTAATTAACTACGTTAACTCAATAATTTGTTAAAATATTGATTTAGCTCAAACACATTCAATCTGTTTTAATAGTACTCTTAATTTACTATCAATTATCTACTTAAATTCAAATTTCTAAACATTTATCAAAAATTTCAATTCAATAATAAAATTGACAAAATATAAAATTGAACCATTAAATAAACCATTATTTATTTCATCGCGAAACACCTAAGTCAAAAATTTGACATAAATGTCATCAATTTATGAACAAATATAATTTTACAAAATATAAAACAAACATTAACATATACAAATAATAAATCCATATAATAAATTTGTATGAGAAAAAACTATAAAATAAGTAAACACCCAAACAAAATACATATACCACAAAAAATATGTAAAAAATTTAACATTTTAAAATTGAGTTCAAATCTAAAAAAGAAAGGTAAATTTGCTTATTTAAAGTAGAGAATTTTCAATAAAATTTGAATCAGAATACAGATACTGATAAATTAAGTGTTATGGTAGCTAGATTTGTTGTGAGAAGTTTAATTGTGTTGAGATTAGTGGGAGGGGGTGGTTGATTGTTATAAAAAAATGCATAAAGAAGAAGGAGAAATATGGGAAAGAGAGAGAAGGATCAATTATTATCAATGGAATTATTCAATTGATCATTCTATCGGTAAAAATATCACATCAATATATGATTTATCTTTTTAAATTTTACTGTAATATTTTCTGTCATTCTCTTGATATACAGCAAAAGAATATTTTTTTGGTGTTTACCAATTGATAGAGGGATAAAAAAAAAATTGGTCAAGGTCATCACAATATACTAAAAGAATTTTTTTTATTGGTGTTTTTATTTATATTTATTAATTTTTTGGTAATGTAAGTGTGCATGTGTGTGCATATATTTATTTTATTGAACGTAAAGTAAATTTTTATATTTTTGATTTATTAAAAAAATCACGATACGCATCTATAATATTGACACATTCTTTTAGAAATTAAATTGAATCCTACCGGTAGCGGGTTATAAAACTGTTTTATATACCAAACTAACATGTCTGCAAAATGACATTAAAGGAGGGACGTATTTTGCTAGGTCAAGCAACATCTAGTGCATTATTAAAAATGAAAAAGAATCAACAACTGACTAAAATCGTACCTAAAGCTTATGCATGCAGAACTGGGCAGCCGACCTGCACGTAATTTTATTGAACTCTGAACTAATGACCTGAAAACGTTTCAATCTGTATGTTAATTAGCCGAACTAATTACCTAAAAACGGGAAAGTCTTGTTTTAGGACAAATCGTGGGAAATCTGAACAACTATATTATTTAACACACTTCGACTTTTCGCGTTTCATTGTCCTAAATTTTACAAGTTCTGAAGTGAAAATGATAGACGCTAAAGACAGGTATTAACTGATTTGAGGAAATGTTCGGTTAAGGATGTGACAGAAGCATTAACTTTCAAGTGACCCCTGAAAGATATAGCACACCGAAGAATCCCAAACGCGCAAGCAAATATTGGAGTCTTCAATCAGTGCTTGATTGAATCAGTGGAAAAATTAGTTGAGTAATTTGGGATTTAATAGGATTTATATGATATAGCAATGGCAAATGTCCAGCAATTTTTAAAAAAACATGAACTAAATGATATCAATTCAAAACATAATCACAAAATTATAATATGCAAATCTATTAAGTATGATCGATGAGGATATTAGAATAACAAGTTCAAGAATAAAATTAGTTCAACGACTGAATTATATATAAAAAAAATATAAAAATCTCACTAGACTTCACATAGAACAAACAATCACTTTTATGTCTAAAAAATACATAATTAGGAATGCATCGAATGTGATATAGTCATCAATTATAGAGAATTTTCTCTAAACGAGAGAAAGCAAAGGAATGAATATATTTGCTGGGAAAAAAGATAATCCTAAAGAAATGTCAATGTCTTGCAACACGCCAGCAAAGTTTAGATGCTTCCAACCCGTGTTATACAAGCTTTTAATTAACAGTAATAAAAAACATTTGATGATATTCTCCTGCCATTAAAGTCGTTAGTCAAGAGAAAATACAAGGCATTGGCAAAGGGCAAAAATCAAATTGAAAATTAAAATAAACTGGGCACAAAAAACTAGTTAGATGGATACTGTATAAACATTCAACTTGCATTTCTTAGGACACCAACAATCTAACCAAATAACTCAACTAGTTAGATATTGAATTTACTTTTTAATAATTATAAGTTTGAGTTCTCTAAAAATTATGAGAGATTTATATATTTGTTAATTTTAAGATTCATATAATTGATTGAAACACACACAAGCTGATCTAAACATTTATATTAATAAAAATAAAATCCATCTCATAACAATACAAATAATCAAAACACCACTGATTTTTTTCATAGGTCTGCTCATCAACATGGCATGGATAACACATCATCTTTTGACAAAATAGAAAATGATTGTTCGCGTCCTTCTGAAACAGCAGCAACATCTTCTTGGAGGATTAAATCAGCTGAAGTATCATTGAAAGAGCTTGGGAGAATGGTGTCAATCAAAGATTTAGCATCTCCTGCAATGAAAGTTGTCTCTTAATGTAAAGTTAAGGCCATATAAACTGCAGTTCTCAAAGCAAGAGATCCTGAAACGGCAGGGTGATTTGCATGACCTGAAAAGATACTGATTAGTAACCAGGAGGTAATGATAAAAGGTTAATTATTGGAGAGCACATATGAAACATGAGCAAAAGTGGGCAGTTCTCGGTAAAGGAGGCTTTAATCTTTTAATTATTTTGATTAATGAAACAGGCTAGATAACTCATCACCTGAATTTATTAAATCATAGATAAATTAATATAAGAAAACCAAGAACATATTCCAGTGTCAAAGGAGAACATATTTCCAGTGTCATTGGTTTTCAAGTTGGGAGGAATATGGTTCTAATTACAGAAGTCCATAAACCAAAACCATTGTCGGTATTTTAAATTCCAACTGTGATAAGATAAAATGCCATAATAGGAGAATAAATTAAAAAGTGCCTAAATCTGGGGCTTAATTGAAAAGAAAAATTGAAATTTAGAGAAAGATTTATCAAAAATAAAAGAATTAAAGGACCAAGAATCAAAATAGAAAAGACAATAAAATTTAGGGATTCCGTTAATTTAATTAAATGGTGTAATTGAAGAGAAAAATAGAGATTAAAGATAAAATTGATTGAAAATACACAAATTAGAAACTTAATGACCAAATTGAAAAAAAACATCTTAATCAAAGGGCTATTTTTAATATAATCAGGGATGAAATTATGAAAGATATTGAGAGAGAAAGGGTGAAATTGATTAAAAATTAAAATTTTAAAAACCAACAACCAAGGTTTAAAAGGAGCCAATATTGAGAAACTATTTTGAATGCAATAAAGGGCTAAATTAAAATAGATTTGAGGAAAAAAATTGAAATTGATCAAAAATAAAAAAAATAAAATCGGCAAGGACCGAGCTAAAAAATGAAAAAGAAAAGAAAAAAGGAGCATTAGTGAAGTGGTGTGTTTCACCGGAAAAAAAAAATGGAGGGCCATGGAAAAAAAAGACATGGAGTTAGTCTAGAGAGAGAAACTATCAAATTAGAGAGTGAACGAAGGAAAAGAGAATTTGAGCTGAGAGTAATGAGTTAGGGGATGATACGAAAGAAAGAAAGAAAGAAGAAGAAGATGAGAGAAACAAACCTAATCACATAAAAAACCGAATAGAGTAAAAAAGAAATAGTTGGGTTTTTGAGGTCATAAACTAGTTTGTTTTGAACCAGAGAGTTTAAAAACAGATAGAGGAACAAAAGAAGAGGAAATGAGAAAAATAAGCCACAATTGAAGAGTAAAAACTACCTCAAGCTATGAAGAGAAAAACATCCAAAAACACTCCATCACCCCAACTAGCCACTATCACTGCCACCAAGGACCACCATGGCATCTCCCCACTCATTTATAATCAACATTAAGGTTAGTCATATCCCATTTCCCCTCTTTTTCATTCCTTAGGGTTTTTCTAAAAATGATCACTTATATGTGTTTTAGATCTTTCCTAGAAGATAATGCATAAAAGAAAACTTAAAGTTTGTGTTTAGAAGTTTTAGTTAGGTTTAATCTTTATTTTATATGTTTTTTTTTTTTTGCAAAATATGAATTAAATAAATAGGGGCTATCTATGTATTTTGGTTCCTTCTAGAAAATAATGCATGAATGGAAACTTAAAGTTTGTGTTTTTTTTTTAATTTATTTAGTTGGGTTTGATCTAGATTTTATATATTTTTTTATCACAAAATATGAAAACTTGAAGGGTTAAATATGTGTTTTAATTTTCTTAGAAAATAAATGCCTGAACGAAACTTAAAGTTTGTGTTCTTAAGATTTAATTGTGTTTAATCTATATTTTAAACGTATTTTATTCCAAAATATGAAAAAAAAACAATGGTTAAATGTGTGTTTTTTATTTTTCTTAAAAAATAATGCATGAAGAGAAATGTATTTTATTCCAAAATATGAAAAAAATGGTTAAATGTGTGTTTTTTATTTTCTTAAAAAATAATGCATGAAGAGAAACCTAAAGTTTGTGTTTTTAGGGTTTAGTGTGATATAGATTTAGCATGTTTCTTTGATTCAAGAAAATGAAGAATTAAGGTTTAGAAATGTGTTTTGTCCTTTTAGATGATGGTGCATGGATTTTTAAGTTCAATAGGATTTAGTTATGTTTGAATCCAAAATTTGTGTATTTCTTTGATAATGAATATGAAAAGTTATGATTAGATGTATGTTTTTGCTTGGTAAGATGATAAATGAATGAAGAAAAACTTGAATTTCTTTTAGGGCTTAGTTTGTTTGTTTTTTTTCTAAGGTTTATTGTTTAAGAAAGAATTAGTTTTATTGAAATTTATGTCTTAATTTTTTTATATTAATCTTAGGCTTAATCAAAATTGAATCTGTTGTTGTCAAAAATAAAAATAATCGGTGAAATATCATGTTTTCAAGGATTAACAAAGTTTTCATTCAAAATCCTAAATCTAAGAAATCTTCTATTTTTACAAATTAATATCAAACATTTTTATCCAAGTCAAATGTCATAACTTTTTTTTGACTTATTCCCTAAACTTTTATTCATTTTTCCTTTTAAAATAAATAATAAATAATAATAGCAATAAGACAAGTATTTTGAAAATAGTAGGCTGAGCAGGATTCTAAATATATAGAAAAATCAAGCTATAATAGAATTGGAAGTCTAATTGTATCTCATTATAACCAGAGACTAAAGAGATAATATAAATTCAAGGTTAAATTAAATTATTATTGGAAAAATTTTTATAAAAATTAAGCTAAGAGACATAATTAGATTTTTAATAGACCAATTTAATTTAATTATGGGCCAAATTAAAATTTATTTATGTTTAAGAATTAATTTAGATCCAAATAAAAATTTTAATTCGGTGTAAGGACTTAATTATACTTTAAATATGCCAAATTAATTTTATTAAGGGCTTAATTGGTGAAAAATTAAGTTTGAGAGTCCAATATAGGTTTAATTTAAAAATTAGAATTTAGAGGACCAGACTTAATTTTTACAAATTCAATTGATTCAAATCATGGGTGAAATTGCAAGAAAATCAAAGTTTTGGGGTAATTTAAGGGTTAAATTGAATAAATTCACAATCATTAATCTTTTTAGAAAAGGTGTTGAACTCTAGGGTCTTAATTGATTTAAATCAAAAGTTAAATTGAAGAAAATTAAAAGTTTAATGATCAATTAAAGATCAATTTGCATAAATTCATGATCAATAACATAAATGAAAAAAAAAACATTGAAATCTGGGGCCAACAACGATGTTTAGCAGGAGCAAAATTACATAAAATTGAAAGTTTATAATTAATAAAAAATGGAATTGAAAGAAATTAAAAGTCAAATGACCAAATTAAACTTTGAGCAAACCTCTAAATTAAAACCCTAAAAGTCCAAAATAGCATCTTTTTAAATAGTAAAAAAAAAAACATGTAAGACAATGTGTCATTTGGTTACTGTTTATTATTCTTCGAGCTTTTATTTAATGCTTTATATCTCATCCAAATTGGATAAATAATACACCACCATGATGACCTAATATTATATTACACCTCGATATATTACTTTCTAGCCAATATGATTTACCATTATTAACATAATTATCATTAAAATAAATATCATGAATTGGTGAAAAATATCAATTCATATATATCTTATCATGAGCAGATCAATAAAATCTCCAAGATACTCACTCTAATCAAGTACTTGTCTCCTCCACTCATGTCTCTAAAAAGGGTTCTCAAATTTAGTTATGGATTCATGATCACTCTCCTCACAATCCTCTAGTTTTTTTTTCCCTCCTACATCTTCGCTAATTGATGGATAATTTTTTAACTTGTCTATGAAATTATATCATTGTCAATCAATAAGTTAATTTTGCAATTCGTCTATAAAGGTGTTTGTTTATGCGGTAACTTTTGCTTTTAAAACTCGTCGGGTAAATATTATGTTTGATAATATTAAAATGCAATTGACTGTTTGTGTGAGACCTATATATGTTTTTGTTAAAACTCCTATTCCTCTAAAGCAGCTAAGAGCTACTTATCAAGTCTGTCAACTTGGATAATTTACGTGGACACGGTTCACGTGAATAGTGTCATGATTATATATATATATATTACTTGAAAAAACTAGTATTTAATGGCACGGTTTTTTGTGAATAGTGTCATGATTATATATGTATATTACTTGAAAAAACTAGTATTTAATATTATTTAATAATACTATATAAATTAGAAGAATATCGCATAATGACGTAGTATTTGTAGAATTTGATCGCAATTCTAATTTTATTTCTAATGATATTTTATCTAATTTTGTTTCACGCTCAAAAAACCATAAAAATTATAGTCCTTATCAAATGAATTTCTTACATAATAAAATTGTAGATAAGTTAATAGAATAATAAACAATATTTGACATAAAGTATTATTTATTTAATAATATAATAATAGTAGTTAAATTTACAATATTTAAATTAAAAATCATCAATATTAATATATATATATATATTAATTATTTTATAACCTTAATTTAAAAAGTATGTTTAACTAAACACATTAAATTATTTTTATTCAATTTCAATCTCAACTACAGTTTTAACCTAACATATATAAATATCACAATAGCAACACTTTAGTATAAATCTACCTACCATTATATATATGTCTTCGATGGCTTCTCTTTTTCATATATATATATATATATATATATATATATATATATAT